GGTGCTCGCTGGTTTTTATGACAGAGGTATTACACATTGATGAAAAGAACAGAAAATAGATGTTAAACTGTTAATTATTATCTCTGAGTAGTGGGACCAGGATAGACACTTTTGCCCCTTTTTTCAGACTTTTATATTAAATACACATTATTTTTCATCTGAGAAAAGCATTTTTAGATGTCTAGTAAAACACATTGATAAACATGCACGAGTACTTACCGAAACAAATAACTAGGAGACACCACAGCAGCGTCACACAATGTAGAATGGGCGATCCTGAATAACACCACACAGTTACATAAGGACCCACAAAGTGAGAGCACCCGCTGTAGCAGGGCATGGCCCCCTTCTAGTTGTCAGTTGTGTCTTCAGGGCTGAAGCAGTTCTGAGCACGGCCAGTGTCAGTGCTGGTGTCTGGATGGACGCCACTGGGGGTGAGGGCACCTGAAAGCCGAGAGGAAGAACAGAAATCATCCTCTGCTTTTTCTGTCTTGTTTCTTTGTTACTTTAAAAGAGAGGTGTAAATAAGATAAAGAATCTTCCCTACTGAAATTTCAGTAATGAAACCGTTTTTAAAGTGTTCACAACTTATATTCTGCCTATAACTGTCTTTTCGACAAAGCATCATATTTATTAAATGTTAATTAACTCAGTTAATTAACTATCTGTTGAAACCCATTAAAGAACATGAAATGCACTATGTAAAACCACCACGCCTGCAGTGACTAGCTCAGCTGTCTTGACGGCAGTGCAGGCATCCCCCATCATCACGTGGCCCTGAGCTCCTGATGCTGGTAAGAGAGCACGCCGCCTCCTCAGATGGAGAGAAACGGTGAAAGCATTTTCTGAAATCTACAGCACTGACAAAACATAACTGACAAATCCCAGGCTCCTTGGAGGCTGTCATTTTCTGCTTCTGGCCAACACCCGTCAATGAGCAGAACCACCCCATTCCTGAGCCATGGGACTCACGTGGGAAGCAGTTTTGGAGAAATTTCCAGGTATAGAATGTAACCAACTATACATAGAACTCTCACAAAAGAAAAGATACAATACTCTGATATTGGAACG